GTCGTTCCTGCCTCGGCACTGCTCCCACATACTGGCGTAGTGGGACTTGGCGTCCTCGTCCTCGACCCATCCCGAGGTGGCGGCGATGGCGATAATGTCAAAAATAATGGCGAAGAGCAGCAGCAGGGGCACGATCCACCTGCATCGAGGGTAGGCGATCCCACAGCGGAACATGACGGACGATCGGAGTGTGTGGAGCCGGACACGGAGAGGAGGAAGAGCGGTGAGCGAGCGCGGCGCGGTCCGTGCGGTTATATATGGTGCTGTGCGTCTTTGCGCAAGGGAGAGAGTCAGAAGGTGTGGTGTGGATACCAGATAATACAGCCCCACCCGGCTGTGTCATGCAACCTGTTTTGGGACCTGAAGGGCTGGGCTTGTCTGGCTGGAGGAGCTGAATCAAGCCCAGCCCCATTCACTGTGTCATATTACACCCAGAGAGAAAAACACACACTGCATCTGTTCGCTCCTCTGTTTGCCCTGCAGCCTGACTCCCAGCTTTAGTTTTAATTATAGTAAACTTGTATTTCTGTAAGGTTTGAGATTACAACAGGTAGCTGTGGAGTGGACAGTGAGTGGGCGGGGTCTGAAGGTAGAAAAGAAATGAGGGAGATATTTACCATGTATATGAATAATCTCTGTCTCATGCCTTTAAAAGCTTTTATTTTGCTCTTTTCTCTGTGTTTTGGACAGGCCCTCTAGGAGTCAAATAAAAACCTGCCTGTGCATTAAGGTGGAATTTATCATTCAAACACTAATGCAGATAAGATAATATTTTAAGACCACTGTGTGCAACCAAAACACTGTCACGGGATCAGCCAACATCATGAATTATTTACAGAAAGAAAAAAGGGGATATGAGGAATACAGTGAGATGGTGCAGTACATGAAGTCACCACAAGATGGCGTCCCAGCTCACTCTGACAAGAATATCTACAGTTATAGAAAGTTATTGAATTCCTCTTGACCCATATGACCATATAAATCTGACAACACCAACATTTTGTCCTTTAGATTCTGTCGTGCAAGAATTTACTGATGCATTGTAATAAAATAAGCAACCACTTCAGTTTTAGAAAGACTGAGGCATGTGGGAAGAGCTCATCATTTTAGTTAAATATATGGAAGCCCACGAGAGACTGTAATAAAATGATAATGACTACAGCTCATGGAGGACAGGAAGATTTTTCCTTCCTTAAAAATACCCTGAATCCCATGAATCAAAGTCAAGGACCTTCGTGACCTTAAAGAACGATGATGAACATAAAGGACTCATTATCTGTGATACTTCAATGTAACCCTGCTTCTTCTCATTTTCTTTTACAAGATGTAAAGCATTTCACCTTTACCTGTGATGTCCCTGCCTGTTCTTATTGGATTTGTCTGTTGTTTTTTTCTCTTTGTAAAAAATAAAGTATAAAAAAGAAAGTGTAATTCAACAAAAGCATTACCATGTTCCGTGTGTGTGTGTAATTTGAGTTAAAAATAAAAGGTTCAAACTCAAACGTTCCACATATTGAGTACAGAGGCCTAAGTGTGTCAGGTAATATCAACTGAAACAAATTTTGTGGAATTATAACACTTAATATTACAAATGTTCATTTGACTTTGTTACACATATTATTGCTGCACAACTGACCCTGTTACACAGAGACAATCTAAGTTGATTTTCTATAGAAACAATATTTATGTCTTTGAAAATGAAGTGTTAAAAGGTCACCTTTATTTTCAAATGATCATAAAAATAATCAAGAAATTAATTTTAACTGATTTAGCCTAAATAATGCACAAATGGAAAATTGGGCTCCATTGATTTCATTGCATTTTAATCTTAAAATTTTATTAAACATTTAAATATCGTCCACTGTTCAGCAGGTTGCAGCAGATCTTTGAACATACTGTATTGTGTCATTTTTATTTTGAAATAGTAAGAAAATTGCATTTTCATTTTGACTTAAATATTGCTTGCATAGGGGCGTTGGTGGCTTAGTGGTAGAGCAGGCGCCCCATGTACAAGGCTGTTGCTGCAGCAGCCTGGGTTCGAATCCAGCCTGTGGCCCTTTGCTGCATGTCATCCCCGCCTCTCTCTCACCCCCTCACGCTTACCTGTCCTATCAGTTAAAGGCAAAATGGCCAAAAAATATCTTTTAAAAAAAAAATTGCTTGCAGAAATTGAAAATTGGATTATACTGTATATGTTGCATTTTAATTTTTAAATTTGAATTAACATTTGAATATTGTCCACTGTACATCACGGTACGGCTATGGAATAGATGCCAAACAGGTTTTCCATTTTCATTTGAATGTGGTCATAGAACACACATACAAATATGTAAAAACAAAAATGCAAATTGGACCACTGCATTTTCATTTTCATTTTAACTTCAATAACACATACCAATGTGTTAGATTATAATGTTATTGGGGATTACATTTTCAAGTTTACATCATGTTATTATTTTGATAAAGCCTCTTATGGGCTTCCATAAATATTTATGTAATTCTTACATATGTTTGATTTATTCCTGATGTTTTGATTTGGAGTGATTTTATTGCTGATGATACATAATGATGTCACTTATAAGCACTACTATATCAATGCTGTCTGCACCTCGAGGACTGCAATGTCATGACATTTTGCAGATACGTCTGTGACCTGGGGTCCTTTGCCTAAACTAAAAAATAAAGCAACACAAATTAAATGGAAAGCCTAAATAATCTCATGCACACATGTAAGTGCAATAACTATATCTGCAGACACAAGACACTTTATCCACCACCCAATTTAATTCTCCATAAGAGCAATTTTTGTGTTAATTTTCATCTTACTATTTGTCTCAGTGCACTTTATAGTTAATATTTTGTCTATACAGTATCTAGTGCCTTTCATTTTATTTTTCATGCTTCATTTGTAAGTACTAGATGTTAATGTATATGTCTGTGCATATACTTCTGCTGCTGTGACTTAAAAATGAGTGGAGAAACATTAAACAGGACACAGAGGGGAACTGGGTGGTTTTAATAGGGTGAAAATGACGTGAATTAAAAGCTATGGCCGTCACGGTCACCATATTTCAACCTACTTGGGCATCTGAGGGAGATTTTGATGTTTGCACTCTCTTTAAAAACACCAGCTGAGGGGAAATCTCTTGGCAGACTGATTAACATCTGGGGACAATCTTTAGTGCTTCATAATGGCGAATATAAAACTGCTCTCATGACACTCTGACAGTGATTTTACTGGGATAAGTGTGACACTTTTTGATTCACAGCTTTTAAAGCTCTTCTATATTTAAATAAAACTGATGCAACATGTCAAATAAAAACTGTAAGAGTCCACAGAGTCTGTCACTGATTCGCTGTCAGAAGCTGTCAGCGGATGACATCATCAATTCAAGTGTTAATACCCTGATGTCCACAGAGGGGAGACAGTAGTCTGAGATGGAGGATGGTGCTTTATTCTTTTTATTTGTTCCAAACAATTCAAATAGCACAATGTGAGTTTGTTTTTAAGGTGGATTTTGATTTAGATATCGAGAGTAGCTGGTACACTGTAAGCTGAGCCCTTGCTGAAGGTGTCAGGTGAGAGCTGCAAACCTGCTCACATGATTTACTGAAAGAGGAGGTAAGAGCTTTTCCACCTTTACAAAATTATATTTAATAAACAAACATCAATACTATTCATCAGATAAAATTAACAAACAAGGTCTGCCTCGGATACTTTTTTATTTTGGTACTTTTTTATGAACTCTGGCACCTTTTTTACAGTTAAAGTACAAAAAAAACATTACCAGTTTATCTTTATTGTGAACTAGAAAATGGTTGATGGGACCAGATCTAGCACATCCATCCATCCATCCATCCATCCATCCATCCATCCATCCATCCATTTTCATCCACTTATCTGGGGCCGGGTCACAGGGGCAGCAGGCCAAGCAAAGCAGACGTCCCTCTTCCCAGCGACACTTTCCAGTTCCTCCTGGGGGACCCCACAGTGTTCCTAGGCCAGATGAGATATGTGATCCCTCCAGCATGTCCTGGGTCTGCCCATGGGATGTGCCCTGAACACAGGAGGCACCCAGGAGGATCTGATCAGATGCCTGAACCACCTCAACTGACCCCTTTTGACACGAAGACGCAGTGGCTCTACTAGCTCCCTGTAGATGTCCGAGTTGACTGAACTGAATATCACTGGATTAACAGACAAGTATGTATTCGTATTTTTGTCTGTGTCACATAAGCAACAATACAGTTTGAAAAAATAAATCAAATAATACATTTGAAATACTTAGAAACAAATGTGAGGACACTGACAGGTTTGGATTGTTTTATTTGGGCTCAGTCAGACAGAGCCTTATTAACATATAAAAGTGGTTATTCAATGGTAAATATAGCACTTGGACGGCCCTGGAGACAAAATGCTACTCCAGGGACAAACAATACAAAAGATAACAACAAAAACAATGATAAAATGCACAGTTTGTGCTGAGGTTGTCTTCTAAACATCTTCACATAAATCAGGGAGTTAAAATACTGATTCTTTGGCATTATAAAGCCTATAATAATCATTGGTTTTAAAGGGTTTGAAACACACACACACAACTCAAACTGAGTTGATAACCTGAGGGCAATTTTATGTGTATTCAGTAACTTAAAGATATTGCAGTTTCCAGGCAGTCAAAGCCGGCCGACAGTAACAGTGAGGAGGGAATCATTTTGATTTTTTTAACCTGTGAATGGCATATTTTGTCTTTTGTTAAAGGGACAGTTCACCCCCAGATAAAATATCACCTCTCACCTGTCGTGCTATTCATCAGTCCAGACTGTTTTTGTGTGAGTTGCTGATATATATCTTGATATCTTGAGTAACCAGGTCATGATTTCTGGAAAGAGATGTTGTTGTTGAGTTTTTCAAATGTAATTTTTGGCGGTTTGAGCACCACAAGCTGAGTGACATCTAGTTGTGTTATACTGGAGAGAAGGCAGACATCTCTACAGCGGATATCTCCAACACTCAGCAACTCACACCAAAACAATCTAGATTGATAAATAGGTAAGAGGAAAAATATGCACTTAAAATTTTGGGGTGAACTGACCCTTTAAAGGACAGTTACACAAGAGATACAAAAAGACATCAATCAAAGCTTGGAAAAATAATCTCCCATTCAAATGTCAAAAACAATCAGAATTCATGGACACTTCCTTCTCCAGTGTTGACACAGTGGTTTTATCAAAGTACTATAAGATGTTTTCACACTCAGTCTTAACTTCCTGTCGGGGTTAAGACGGGGAAATTGCTCTCCGTCGTTCTCAGTTCGAGTCAACACTTCACAGCCCTTTATGTCGTCTAATATATCTCTGTCTCTGTCTTCCTGTTCTTCACGTCCGCTCAACAAAACGCCATCACTGTTAGAAATCTGTCCGATCCTTATCCAAACAGTAGCCTGGCCTCAGTTACTGTAGGTGCTTTGGGACTACTTTCGTTGCCTTATTGTGCTGACATAACGTGCATTATTTGTTTACACGTGGCATTTTTCACTTGGACCCCCCACACCTTTTTCCTATTCTGCTCTGCTTCCTGCTTTCCCTCTGTGTCCCCTTTTTTAAGGTCAGACCAGTTACAACCTGAACAATAAGGCCACTTTATACACGACTAAAACCAGGTCTCAGCCCGTGTGTGTGCACACATAGTCACATTTAAATACTGAATAAATGGAGGTGTTTTGACTGAGCTAACAGCGAGGTTAGCTCCACAGGGAGTGGGATGTCAGTGAGGTGAAGTATGAGCTTCAACATGAGTCAAGTGTGGAATGTGAACTTAGCATCCCCTTGCAAGTGTAAGACAATGGTTGTTCACAGTTTTCTGCTCCCAACAGCATTAATTATTCACAATCACTTGATCCCACAGCGTTGAGTACACCGTGAGAAGAAAACAGAAGCAAGCATTTCCTTGTTTTCCTGCTCCTGTTTCAGTTTTTAGGGTGTAACCATCCATCTCCCTGATTCCTATCTTCCCTCTGTGAGATGAGACGTCAAGCACACGGGATGGTGCTGTCCCTGCTGGTTCTGCTGCTGCTGAAGTGCTGGCATATAATCGCCAACCTGTACAAGTTCAGTATGACCACCAGGAAGTTTTTGATGGCAAAGAACCCCAGCATCTGGTGGAAGACGTTGAAGTAAGTCATGACGGTGAGCCGGACCACCAGGAAAGGCCCGTCCTGGATGAACAAGGCCTCCACGATGCTCCACATGTCCGTGCTGCGCTTGGCTAAGAGGGAAACCTCCTGGGACCCCTCCTCTCCCTCACTGTTTGGCTTGGAGTTCACCACTTTTAAGAATAAGGAGACAAAAAGACAGGAGATCAGAAACTCTGTTGCATTCATTTGTTCAGTTGTTTTAAACTGAATTTAAAAGCCTTACAGCTAGATGACATTACACCTGTAGCATTGCTTCCCACTATGTGACAGTGTTAATCTGAATTGTCACTGTCTTTTTTTTTTGGATCAAACAATTCCCTTTTTTTCTGATGATATCCTTAATCAATCAAACTTTATTTATATAGCACATTTTCATACCCCCATGCACCCCGCACCAGAGGGCATCCCGCCTCCAGACTGCATCCAGAAATGACGCAGCCCGACCACACCCACACCCAGCACCATCATGCCCTGATGGAGACATATGATACCAGGCATAGATGTAGTCGGGCCAAACAACATCCAGACACAGTCCAGACACGGGACACACCCCAGCGCGAGGTGCAAGAACCTGAGAGAACCGAGGAAACTCCATCAGTGAGGAAACACTGGAGGTAAAATATAAGAAAACCTTCAAATAAAAGTGTTTAAAAAAATAGAATAAGAATAAATAGAAATAGCAATAAAATATATAAATAGAAATAAAAAATAAAAATAAAATAAATAAATATATATAAAAATACATAAATAAAAGTATATAGATAAATAGAAATAAATTGCTAAACAGATAACTTTAAAAGCATATAAGATATATGACTAAAAGTTATCAATAAGAAATAAAGGATTTAAAATATATGACAATAATAAAATGTCTAAAAAAAATTCAATAAATATATGAGAAATAAGTAAATAAATAAGAATAAATAGATCAGTAAAAATCAACTAAAAGCCAAGCTAAAAAGGTAGGTCTTGAGTTTGCCTTTAAAAACATATCCACACTCTCTGCTACCCTCGGATCCTCTGGCAGGCTGTTCCACAGACGTGGGCCGTAATAAGAAAAGGACACCTCACCGTGGGATTTAGTTCTAACTTCTGGAATAATTAACAGTCTACTACCAGAGGACCTGAGGGTCCTAGAGGGCTGATAGGTTAAAAGAAAATCTGATAAATAAGGACCAAGACCATTAAGAACGTTAAAAACTAATAAAAGAATCTTAAAATCAATTCTGAAGCCAACAGGAAGCCAATGCTTAACTGAGACTTCTGACTGTAGGATGCAATGGAAAGATATTTAATGGACCATGTGGTGTTTCCTTGGTCAATTATTAGCTTAAAATTTCAGTTTTCAAATGTAAATTTTCTTTGATTTGAACATCACAAATTTATTTCCCTCTTCTTCCATTTTGCTGGTGGTACAAATCTCAAAACTATGTCAAATAAATCCAAATATATCTGAGCGGCTAAAGACAACTGGAGATATTTGGGGAAAAAGCAGTGATGTGACACACTGCGCTCAGCTGACACCCTGCACATGTTACGTGTTGTAAATGTTTCTGTCCAGTAGTGCAAGGGGTGTGGACTGGGACTTGCAGTAAGTGAACAGTACAAAAGATACAACAGTGCCGTCAAATAAAGAATCACCGTACACATGCCAGGGTTTTTTGTGCCCTCAAATTAATTGTTTCTGATGTAGACATGTGGCAGGCGCGCTCAAATGAAGCTCTGGCAAAAGTTTAGTCAGGAAGACAATACTGTTCATGCTTAGGTTGTAATTGCCTTCCTCACCCTGCTATTCACTCCTTGCATGAGTGCTGTCAGTCGAGTCATCAGCTGACTTGTCTCCAATAACTCAGCGACACACCTTCTCCGTCAGCCTATCATCTCACTGCTCCTCATTTTAAATATGGTTCTTTTTCTGCCCGCAGTCCTTTCATGCTGCTGCCGTGCGTACCCTCCACCTCCCCATCACCACCTAGTCTTCTCGAATGCAGCCTCGACTCGCCTCAGCAGTCATCAACCAAAGTCATCAGCCTCCACCACAAGTGTCTAGACTGGGGGATTTATCTTGCTGCCGCTCAGATGTCCCACGATTACAAATAATCTCCCTCTGGTGTCTAAGTGCCAAAGAATCTTATCAGCACAAATGATCTCTTAATCTGTACACTCGTATTTCGCATTAAATTTCATCTTTATTTCATTTTTCTGTCTCTCCTGATTGAAATGCCATAGTGACGCCTTGGTGGTGCACACAACACAATTTAATTCACAGTTCAACTTTTAGGACGCAGCAGCACACACCGCATATCATGTGATGCGGACCAACCAATCACAGCCGACAGACATCTTTCCCTTTATCCATAAATATCAGTCTGTGATAAACATGGAGAAGAAGTTGATCATTTTAGTGCAGAGCTGCCAGAACAGGCCTACTGTACACACAAACAGCACTGAGATCAGCTCTGCACTCAGGATTTCAGGTTAATAGGCTATGATGTGGTGCTTCCTGAGGTTGTTCAGCAAACTCAGACGCAACCTGCCCGTGTGTTCTTGAAAACTGGCACAGAGACGGCCCAAGAGTAGCACCCAGGGGCGACCTCGAGCTCAACACTTAGAGTGTGTGCCCCACATAGGCTGAGTCCCTTGCAGCAGCCTGGGTTCAATTATAACCTGCAGCCCTTTGCAGCATGTCGTCCCTATTCTCTCTCCCTCTTTCTTGTCCCTCTTCAACTGTCCTTTAATAAAGGCAAAAAGCCCTAAAAAATAATCTTTAAAAAGAGCAGCACCCAGCGCCTGACCTCACCTTTCCTAGGCGGTTAAAGATGCAGCATGTGTACGGCCCCTTAAACTTGGCAGAAACTTTAACCTATAGGTGTGATGCCTTCTTTAACAGATGTGATTGGTTGTCACAGACACGCCCTTCTGTGAGCGATGAGATGAACTGCTGACTGTGAAAGCGTTGTCATTGTTAATGTGGTCACTCTGCTGATGAAGTCATCACTGCTGCACTGTTGCATTTTCCAAATATCTTAGTGTTGTGATCATTTTATTTCTCGTGTCATAGCGTTATTGTGTTGGGTGGGAAATGTGTGCATATCCCTTGTGAGATCAACCACACATGTTATCGCTACACGATCTAATCTGTAGCATTTCATTTGCTCACTTTCATCTAGCATTCGGCGACTATTTCTCCGACCTCTTTGTGTTTCCACCATTTTCTCCTCTGCTTAAGAAACTCTTAAGCCTCTTAAAAATCCTCCTCCCTGCTCCTGACAGTTTTCACTTTAGGAGCTCCTTAAAGGTCTAAGATGCTCCGTGAATAACTTCTATCTTTATAAGGGCCTAGTCTTAACTTCAAGAGGAAATTATACGAATGTTCTTTGAATTTCCTCTACGAGGAGCAACTCTATGTACTAGGAAGCTTTGAGAATATGGCCCCTGGTGCATGCTGTGTCTGGCTAACGTGCTAAATGCTAACATGCTCATAGTGGACCCTTAGAGAGTTTTACCTTCAGTGAGGTGTTTGAGGCCTTTCTGCTTTTTGTGACCATTTATTCCTGTCATGTCTTCCTGTCACCTTTAAACTTTTTGAATTTGAGGAGTGCAAGAGGTTAAGTGGACTGGTTATATTGGGACTGTGAGGCTTCATGGACTGGGTATCTTGTGCTTTGGGAATGAAGCAGTAGAGAAGTTGTACTTTTATCTATGTACATCTTTACACAAGTACTTTTCCCTGAGTAAAATTTCTTGAACGTAACAGTGCATGAGTAAATAATTTTAGTATTTTTCACCCCTGATGAACATGTTGCACCTGTATATCAACACTTTCTGTGTTTACATGGCTGTCAAACACACTGGACACCACTGCTCTAACACTAACAAAAAGACACGCCCACGTGAGCGCACACAAACTGTACACACTGACAGAAAAGCAGCGTCATTTGTAAACAGAGGGCTGTGTGTTTAAAGTATAAGTGCTCTAAATGCACTGTGTCGGTAAAGCTACACACAACAGTTTGACTAGAAAGAATCTCTACCACCATTTATAAATTATTAAATGTTGGGTTATGAATAATTGAGATCATTAGCGGGGGTCGTCTTTTCCGAGAACAAAGTTGCACTGTTTCTAATGGCGTTATAATGTTCTTTCTTTCTTTCTTTCTTTCTTTCTTTCATGAAACACTATCCTTTGTTCCCTCAGCCTCGAGCAGGCGGGTTTACATTCTTGTCTGTGCTCAGTGTAATAAGTTTCAGAAAGCCATCTGCTAGTTGGGCCTTGCCTGATAATGGCTTTCTCTTATCAGCCAAGTTGAGAACTGAAGTCTTTGTCATTCCAAATCTATTCATATAATGAATGAGTGAGACTGTATTTCCTCCTAAAGACTGTCGACCTCTATACAAGCTCTATAACTACACCATTCCTGTTAGTAATTTCTTTTTGTGGTAAGTCTGTTTTAAGAACTATATGTCTGAATGTACGGACGTGACCAATGCTCAGGACGTGAAAACAGTTTTTTGGGTTAATGATTTGACAAAGCTGGAGATAGAGCAGCAACCCAACTACTCTTCACTGTTTACTTACAGGACTGGTCTGGACGCTGCTGACTTCACTAATGTTTTGCCAGCGTCTGAACACATTGTTTGGATTGTCCCACAGTGGGAGGAGGTTGTGTGAAACAATACACGGCTGTAACTGCTTAATAAGCACAGTTATTGGTTTAAGACACAAACACACACTGACCGGCCAGATGTAGGGGGAACTGCAACATGCTCCAAGTCCATACGGCTAAGATGATGTAGACCAGCTCAGGGCTGTTCTCTCTGGAGAAGACATGGAAAATAAGTCAGTCCTGTTAGTTTATATAAATGTCAGATGTCTTATTACAGTTAATTCCATGATATGCGATGTCATGATTTGTGCACATAGATTAGGTAACTTCATCTTTTGAAGTGGGGTTGTATGATGTACTTATCCACAGTAACTGTATTACATACATTAGATGGCGGTCAGCACACCTCCAGTTTGGATAAGCACACTCGACATGGAAGCTAAGCATTGTACTGCTGTGGATGTGGTCAGCAATAAAGTAGCGGTTTACGTGTACGCTATGTTGAGAGTATTTCTACTGCTTTACCTTTTCGTCAGACAGGGACGTTGTTAACGCCTTCAGTGCCACATCAATGCTCTCTTCAAAGCCAGACTCCATTAAGAAACACAGCGATTTAACATTGCTGAACACAGGAGCTGCTGGTCTGCCGCTGCCTCAATCAGATAGTTTGTCTGTGTTATTGTGTGACTTTGGTGAATCCAAACTAACAAGATTTAACGCCAAAGTCATATAATAACACACAAAAAAATAACTGATGAGGCAGCGGCAGACCAGCAGCTCCTGTGTTTGGCATTGTTCAATCACTGTCTTTCTCAATGGAGTCTGGCTTTGAAGAGAGCAATATAATCAACACAATCTCGCTCCGACCTCGTCACAACGTGCAGGGTACCACGGTTGCCTGTTACACATGTTGTTGTCTTTCAAAACACACATTTTCACAGGAAATTTGCCATTTACACACAGTCTCTTTCAGAATAAACGCACTATGTCCGTTTTTTAGGAAAAAAGAACAGGGTTTGGCTTTATGATGTTACAGACCGCGAATACTGCTCTCCAGGGTGAAAGTCATTGTCTGTTGAACCTTCCACCACCCTTCCCACCAACCCCACTCAGACTTTTGCCGCCTTATTTTCATCCTTGTCCCACCATGTTTCCCCCTGAAGCCGCTGGGCACTGTTAAACTATAACAGCAACTGGCCATGCATCGTGCCATCGTTAAAGGGCGGCTTTTTTCGCCTATGTCTGACACCACATGTCACTGCCTAAGGGCTGGATTTCAACAACTTCCCATTGGAAATTGTTGTCTAAGGGTAGAGCAGTTAAAATAGTCTCAATGTAGCGCACACTTGTACTGATATTGATTGTTTTAGGTGGAACTTTTGCTGTACTGTGTGCTGACCTCCATCTACTGTGGTTATACATTGGCTATGGATAAGAACCTCATACAACCCCACTTCCAAAAATTCCGAAGTATCCCTTTAAAAGTGCTTGAGCTCTTCACCTTCTTGTCCATTCTTTATACATAAATGTAAACATACTTGCACACAGAGCTCAGACATAAAACCATCAAGCATTCATAACCAACAAGTAACATGACCGGCCACCCACTTGACATCTGACAGCGTCTCACTGGTAAATTCCAGGATGTCTGCCGCAGTGCCAACAAAAATTAGGAGAAGCTGCGAGAGCTCATCACGTGTGACTCCGCCTCCCAGTGGGAGGAGCCACTTCCCCACGATGAGGAGGATGAGCAGGATCTGATGAAGAGCCAGGATCCAATCGTTGGAACAGACGGTCGATAACAACTGGTTAATACTCTGGAAAAGACAGAGACTGGAAGTTATTTCTTTGCCGACAGTGCAGTGGTTTTTCTGACATGGTTGGATGTCTTATCTCTTAATTATGAAGCTCATACAAGGCTACAAGTTTCTGGTAAATATCATTTTGGCAATAAATGCCTGCTGTAGTGAAAGTATGCAGAGATGACTCTAACTTGGTGATGCTTGCTATCTACATCTCACCCCTAACTCCATTTAGGGACCCTGAAATATTTGGTCTGCTGAATATTAGGGCCCAAAATATTATTATTTAAAGGATTGGGCTGGAGACGTTCAATATTTTAATATCTACACATCCAATGGACACACAAAAACCAACAATGTGTTAGTCTGTCTCTCAATACCTTCTGACTTCTCTACACTTAAATGGGTCACAAATTTGTACTTTCATCTTTTTAAAAAGGCTTATAAGTTTCCTTAAATCATAAGAGTAAGAACAAGAGTAACTTAATTTGTACAGCATAGTTCATACAGCATGTGCAACTCAAAGTGTTTCACCTAATGAAATGAGAAAATACAAGTAAAAGACAGTCTACGATAGAGTAAATAAAATTCAAATACACAATCTCACACTTTCACACAAAAAAATACGACTGAGGTTTGATATCAATTCATCAAATAAAAGCTACATAAATGCAAGTCTATAAAGAGAGGTTTTAAGATTTCATTTTATTTAAACAGCTGGGTGCTGTAGTTATTCAATAAGGAGGATTTGTTTTCAGCTTGGTGATATGGTAAGTGCATTTGGCGTTGACTCTACGCCACAAACTACAGTGTTTATTTTCATGGCAATGAACTCAGTGCTTTAATAGTTTCTGAGGAAACAATGGAGCTCTGAGGTGCAGAGAAATAACCATAATCAGGCTTTGACAGAAAGTATTTGTCAGTAGCATAAATTCATTCCTTTGTTTTTTTTTTTTTGTTGACAAAAAGAAAAATATAGAATATCAGCAGACTGAGCCTTTAATGACTTTATTATTGCACAATGTAGACTTTGTTTTTTTAACTGAAGCACAGTAAAACGTTGAGGCATGCAGCCAGCTTTTGGAGGTGGGCCCCAACAACTTTCTAGCTTTCTAATTCTCCTGGGCTGATTGGGTGTGGTGGTGGTCGAGCTGTTGTTTATAGAAGCCATTTCAAATGCTCCCCTCTCACTGTTAGTAGCCATGTGGGTATTCAGGCTCTTATGTTTGTTATTACTGGCAGAAAGTCTCTGCCCTCTCATTTTAATAACTTAGTGAATTGTTTTAATATTGCTTACAATGCTGCTGTACATTTTGTGCTCTTAGTTTGTTCACAGGTCTGTCTCTGTCCTCATCTAAAGCAAAGCAAAGTGATATCTCTTCCTATAGAGTGCTGTAGGAGTGAGTTGTGGAAATGAGTCAGCATTCTGCACGTCAAACACGGCTCTACCGTCTTGCTGTGCTGGCGACGGTGAAGTCATGCAACAGCAGTGTAGTTCATTTATCGCATTTTACTTCCAGTGATTATCTAAAGAGTATTTTGCTGATCAAAATACATAAACTTTTCTAAAATCCAATGGAAAAATCCCAGTGACCTTTTTGTCAAGGGAACCAGTGTGCTTACATCCCTGGAGGACTGTACAGATACCCTGCTGCAGTCAGATCAGAGCAATCGTTTCATTTATGCTCTTCTTGACTGCAGTGCAGCTGTTGAGACTGTTGATCATGATATTTTAGCTTGAGAACTGGTACAGTGAGTGTTTTTCCTCCTGTTTATGAATTCTTTGTACACATCTTTGGTTGTTAATTGGGGTTCTCTGACCTGTGGCGTTCCTCAAGGGTCAATTCTCTCAATTCTCCTCTCTTATTCTCCATCCATGTAAATGCTGCTTTTAGGACGCATTATCCGTCTCTTCTCATTCCTATGCTGGTGATATTCAGTGTTGGTATTTGTAAAGCCTGGTAACCTCTCAAGTCCTGCTATTTTACATAATAGTCTTGCTGAATTAAGTGCTTGGATTGCTTTTTCATATTAAATCAAAACAAAATTGAAATTCTTGTCTGTGCCCCTGATCAGAAAGACTCTGAAAGTATCCTGCAGAATGTCAGGCATTCACCTCTGTTTTTTCACTTTAAAGTTACACCCCCTCAGGTACCTCTAAATTCAAAGCAATGCAGCATTCAAGCATGTAATAACCCAACTGATGGTGCAAGCGATGCATCCTAAATGTCTGCTCTTAATGAGGATGACTGACTTCCTTTATACAGAAATAAAATCGGCAAATAAACAACAAGGACTGTCGACTTTGGAGAAACTTCTCAAATCTGATTAAACTAGTGAGTAGTTTTGCATCTTATCTGCAAAAGATCAAAAAATGATTTCATATTTAATTTCCTTGCTGGCTGCATTTTAAAATTCTTTATATTCTTGCCAATCCTGTAATTAGCACAGTTGGCTGACTCTTTTAGTTCTGCTGACCTTGGCTCAAAATATCCATCTGTGATAAGGCGGCTCTTCCCAGAATCCAGGCCTGTATTTGTGGGAAGATACTTTGTCTCTCCCATTGGTGAATTCTTCCTGAATTCTTTGACCCCTGCGGCTGCGTCTGGCTTTCCACTCTTAAAATGTTCATGTTATTCTCTGCTGCATTCACTCCAAACTGGCAACTGGGGAATCTGTCTGAAACTCCGCTCCTCAATTACTGAGTGACTCTCCTCTGAGACTCTGTATTACCCCAACACTGACTTCTAATGAGATTTAGCATTTAGATAACCACCTCACACAGCCAGTCTTGTAGTCTTTGCCACTGAAGAGCGACAGTTTGGCCTTGAATACAGTTGGAAGGATGAAGTCAGAACGTTTTTTACCTTTCAACAGCAAATTACCTGCAACATGCATCATTCAAGGGCATCAGGCAATTAGTTTACCACTGATTTCCATTGAGACTGTTGGCTCTTCGTACATGCTTTAAACAACACACTAAATAACTTGCAGAAAACTACAACCAAGAAAATGCAAAGGATGGATAGAAATGTAGTTTTTGTTTGAAACATGAAAGTGTGCAAACAGGAAGTTCCCAAAGCAGGCGATGTGACATTAACAGTAACGCTATTAGCTGCTTTTATGACTTGAAATCTGAACCATTAGCAACACTTTCAAGAAGACTAGAAAGATTTCCATGTTCAAGGAATGGATAAACGTTTTAGGAGGTATGCTTATATGCTTCTTGGCAAGAGTTGGATGAGCAGTTCGATACCACTCTCACATATACAGTGCAGGCCAAAAGTTTGGACACACCTTCTCATTCAATGCGTTTTCTTTATTTTCATGACTATTTACATTGTAGATTCTCACTGAAGGCATCAAAACTATGAATGAACACATGTGGAGTTATGTACTTAACAAAAAAAGGTGAAATAACTGAAAACATGTTTTATATTCTAGTTTCTTCAAAATAGCCACCCTTTGCAGTCTTGAAGGAGTTCCCAGAGGTGTTTAGCACTTGTTGGCCCCTTTGCCTTCACTCTGCGGTCCAGCTCACCCCAAACCATCTCGATTGGGTTCAGGTCCGGTGACTGTGGAGGCCAGGTCATCTGCCGCAGCACTCCATCACTCTCCTTCTTGGTCAAATAGCCCTTACACAGCCTGGAGGTGTGTTTGGGGTCATTGTCCTGTTGAAAAATAAATGATCGTCCAACTAAACGCAAACCGGATGGGATGGCATGTCGCTGCAGGATGCTGTGGTAGCCATGCTGGTTCAGTGTGCCTTCAATTTTGAATAAATCCCCAACAGTGTCACCAGCAAAACACCCCCACACCATCACACCTCCTCCTCCATGCTTCACAGTGGGAACCAGGCATGTGGAATCCATCCGTTCACCTTTTCTGCGTCTCACAAAGACACGGCGGTTGGAACCAAAGATCTCAAATTTGGACTCATCAGACCAAAGCACAGATTTCCACTGGTCTAATGTCCATTCCTTGCGTTTCTTGGCCCAAACAAATCTCTTCTGCTTGTTGCCTCTCCTTAGCAGTGGTTTCCTAGCAGCTATTTGACCATGAAGGCCTGATTCGCGCAGTCTCCTCTTAACAGTTGTTCTAGAGATGGGTCTGCTGCTAGAACTCTGTGTGGCATTCATCTGGTCTCTGATCTGAGCTGCTGTTAACTTGCGATTTCTGAGGCTGGTGACTCGGATGAACTTATCCTCAGAAGCAGAGGTGACTCTTGGTCTTCCTTTCCTGGGTCGGTCCTCATGTGTGCCAGTTTCGTTGTAGCGCTTGATGGTTTTTGCGACTCCACTTGGGGACACATTTAAAGTTTTTGCAATTTTCCGGACTGACTGACCTTCATTTCTTAAAGTAATGATGGCCACTCGTTTTTCTTTAGTTTGCTGATTGGTTCTTGCCATAATATGAATTTTAACAGTTGTCCAATAGGGCTGTCGGCTGTGTATTAACCTGACTTCTGCACAACACAACTGATGGTCCCAACCCCATTGATAAAGCAAGAAATTCCACTAATTAACCCTGATAAGGCACACCTGTGAAGTGGAAACCATTTCAGGTGACTACCTCTTGAAGCTCATGGAGAGAATGCCAAGAGTGTGCAAAGCAGTAATCAGAGCAAAGGGTGGCTATTTTGAAGAAACTAGAATATAAAACATGTTTTCAGTTATTTCACCTTTTTTTGTTAAGTACATAACTCCACATGTGTTCATTCATAGTTTTGATGCCTTCAGTGAGAATCTACAATGTAAATAGTCATGAAAATAAAGAAAACGCATTGAATGAGAAGGTGTGTCCAAACTTTTGGCCTGTACTGTATCTGTTTAATTGGAAGCTACAGCCAGTGAGCTGTGAGCTTGGCTTAGCAGCACAGAGACTTGAAGAAGGGGGAAACTACTCTGGCTCTGTAGGTTAACATCCTCCAACTCCTTTGACACTCACTAATAAAGACTTGTTTGTTTCAGCAATGCATAAACTGAGGGGTAAAAACTGGAGTCTCGTTTCCTGGCAGCCTCATGATGTCATCAACAGCCATGAATAGACTGTGAATCATTGTACATGAGAATGAGAAACACCAAATGGATAAAACAAATGACACAGTGCTTGAGGAGAAGCCCATATGCAATTTCTTTGAGAGCGACTCGAGGCGTCTGTACTATTCTTGGTAAGTTTCACTACCCCAAAAATTCCAGACTGCAGTGTAGGCTAAGTGATTACCAAGAAATACATCATCAAAAAAAAGAAGAGGATCATCTTTCTCAGTCTCGATCATCACTTTCTTTGCAGGCATATCATAAAATGTTCAAGTATAAGAAGCAAATTAAAGGAGTCTTTCAGTCTGTTGCTCTTACCTTCAGGTAGTTCTGGGTTGTGAGGTTTCCCACGGTTTCATTCACAGTGATCAATTCCCGCACATTCTCCCAAGAGTCGAGCCTTTTGCACTGAAAACAGATGAAACAAGCTTGAACAACAAGTTAAATTTAAAGGGATTTCAACCAGCTTTTTGTCATAACAATGTGGGTAGTATGTGTAAATGAACTGTGGTAAACTTCCCGCTATCTAACATGCACCCAAACATCCCTGACCTCCTTTCCGCAGGCTCTCGGGTTGTTGTTTGAACTACAGATTTTACTTCCACATTTTTCGTATTCCCACTTCCACAAACAGAAAAAGTACAGAAGCTACTCGAGAATCAGACCAAACTAAGATCAAACAGCGCTGATCAGATATAAACCAAGATTCTCATACTGTATTGTCTATTTCCCGCCTCAGTTGTCTGCAGAAATATATTTTAGTGCACTGTTTGGCTGTTATTCAAGAACTTATGAATAGAAAGTGGTTGCCATAATTCAAGATTGTTTGTTGCAAGCCAGTCACCATATTGTTTGCTGTGTCAAGAAGAACAAGCTCACATTATGTCACCCACCAGCAGGAGTGTTCATTGGTCCGCTGCGGTACATTCTAGTAGTTGTAGGTTTTCTACCTCTGGAGCAAACGTAGCACTAATGTCAAAAGAAGCTGCATCTTTCAGCTGCATAGACAGTCCATGAAATGACCATCTTTCTAACAGTGAATAACTTCACTTAAAAGATTAAAAGCAAATGCTGAATTTGAGGGAATCAATGAATCACTGAATGATAAACTGCAGCCACGTCTGCAAAGAGTTTTACAACCCTCCCTCCCACCCACAACATCTGTCATCAGATCACATGTTTGGAAAGATGAGTTAAACACTGACTAAGTATTCTTATTTCTGGCGTGGGGCACCTGAGGGTCGCTGGCTTTGTCCTGCTGGTGGTGGAGCTCCAGGAGCCAGATGGAGGGAATGATACTGATGAGGAACAGAAAGATCGGAGGAGAAAACCTGCAAGACAACCAACAGAGTTTATCAGCCCAACTTCATAAAGACAAAGTCAAAGTCTGGTTGATAAACATTACAACTGTTTAGAGTTCAAGTGATTAATCAGTTGTTCAATTAGTCAACTGACTGATAATTGATCTCCAATAGAGTAACTTTTTTCTAGCAAAAATGACAAAAAGTGCAGGTTCCAGCTTTTGTAATATAAATTAGGGCTGGGTAATATAAAGATATTATATCATTACCGAGATATGAGACTCTATATCGTCTTAGATTTTGGATATTGTCTCGTGATATGGCATAAATGGTGTTTTTCCCCTAGTAAAGTGATTTAAATTTATCAGCTTACTCAACTTTTATTTGTTTTAACAGTTGCCTTAACCCACTTAGCTATATCCACACTATTGATGATTATTGATTAAAAAAATCCCTCAATGTTGTTAATATTTTCTGGAGAAAAAAAAGTCATCCCTACAACTTTTTTGCACCAGAGATGGTAGTAGGTCAGACATATTGTTTAATATATGTTCAATTGTGTCTCCCTGTCCTAGCATGAATGAAGTGCTTTTGAGATTTAAAAATATCAAGATATATATCATGTATCGAGATTCAGCCTAAAAATATTGTGATATAATTTTCAGAACATATCGCCCAGCCTTAATATGAAGATTTGCTGCTTTTGTTTGTCTTATATGAAGTAAAAAACAGAATATCTGTTGGGTTTTGGATTGTGGACTGTTGACACTTGAAGATGCCAACATGGGATTTTCTCACTATTTTATAAACCTAACGATAAATCAAAAATAAAATTGGATGATGATTAATTGCTAACAATCATTTTCATACTGACATAAAGATTTGTCTGTTCTACATATATGTTCCTGGCTGTTCTAGTACTTTGCCTTATTTTTGTTTCCTTTTCATATTGTGAATAATCGCAAACTACAAATTAACACACAAATGACAATAACAGGCATAAACCATCGTGTTCTCAACAGACTCAAAAAGTGACATTTGCATTATGGAACATAAATCAGCAAACTACAAACTCCAGCATGATGGGAAATGTGGGCGTCACTACATCATGTAAGTTGTAAGTTAAATGCATGCACCAAAAACCAAAGTAAATTCTTTGCAAGTGAAAACCTACGTGGTGATCAATCCTGGTTCTGATTCTGAAATATTAGTTAGTAGGATATTTTATCATCACTTTGCCTTCAGTTTTCTAGGACAAGATATTATCACACAAATCAATGCTTTTTGTAAGACCTAATACTCAAACTGGATTAAAACAAATAGGGTTTTGGACATTTCTAAGTATGGAGAAGGAAATTAATGAGTGGATGCTTGTCTTCATTAAATTGTCTGCTGCCACTGAGAGCAAAAAAAACTCCACGTCATGAAAATGAAATACAGACTATTGTTTGCAGACTGAGTTTAGATATGGAGGAAGACGTTTGGGACAGTTAGGGGGTACCACCCCATCCTCACTGTCCCAGGACCGGTTTAACAATAGCAGCAGAGACAAGCAGGATACGGGGTGTTCAGGGCGGTGGGGGGAAGGGATGAACACTGGGAACATGACAAAAGCTTAATTTATTCATGCTTTATACTGGAAACATGTCCAGCGCTGAAAATACGTGCAAACAAAGTTGTTGAGATTAGTTTTACACAAAAAATGTTGCATCCTCAAGCATCATATAATCATGTCCACATACTTAAACACATGCACCTCATGATCTTACCATTTGTAGTCTTGTCCCTTTCTCCTCTTCAGTGTTATTATCATTTCAATGACCAGCGGCAGAAAGAGGAAAGTGAGGAACCAGTAGTTGGGATCCTTCTTCACCCATGTCACCCTCCACACGCCGGTCAGAGACACCAGGATAAATAAACTTCTAGTAATAAGCGCGCATATAAACTTAAACAGGAACATAATGCCGCCGTCTGGATGCAGATCGGTTCTTTGCACCGCAGCTTTTATTCCTACAAGTTCAGATCCTAGAAAGCCGGGTTGCTGCAGTGTCAGCAGAGAGAGAGGGGGAGAATGAAAAAACTGTTGGATGTCGTTTTTCGAGCAAAGTCCCCAAAGTTGAAGCCCCGCCTAGAAAGCAAGTCCCGTCCTGTCTTACCTGCCAGGCATCAGATAGTGGAGAGTACTGACCCTGCAGGACTCATCTGGCAGACTGTTAGTGTGTCAAAGCCAGCAGTCTCTGTGAGCTCATTCAGAAATATCCATTGATTTATGCGTGACATCATGAGTCCATCAAAAGCTCTGTGAATGTACAGGAGAGGGCAGCATCACATCATCTGTTCATTCAGCAGGAATAACTGCATGAAGGAAGGGCACTTTCTCCAGTCCAGCGCTTATGCTTTTCACGGGTGTGCTGGAGCCTATCCCAGTTGACACTGGGTGAGAGGCAGGGTTCACCCTGGACAGGTCACCAGACTATCACAGGGCTGACACATAGAGACAGACAACCATTCACACTCAAGCTGGAGCACCTGGAGGAAACCCACATTGACGCAGGGAGAACATGCAAACTCCACACAGAAGGGCTCCCCCACCCTGGGTTTGAACCATGAACCCTCTTGCTGTGAGGTGACAATGCTAACTACATCTGTCAAATAACTATAGTGGAGTGAGACGTATAATAAAGAAGTGTAAAGTATAGCAAAAATGTATACAAGTACAGCACTTGAGTAATTGTACTTAGTTACACTCCAGGACTGTTTACAGCAAATTATTGTTTTGAGGAATTAAATATATAAAAATTTGTTGTTAATATTTATTACGATATTGGTTCCATTTAAATTATATTTTTTGTTTTGTTTGTATCCTTATTTACTTTTTTCTGTAATCCACCTCCGTGTGTTAAAGGCGGATAAAATAAATATAGACATGAATATACTGTGATACACATACAAAAATATATATAAAATAAACGCACAAAAATAGTTACGTAAAACACATACGTAATCTTGACCAACATATCTCTTAATTCTCTAATGTTTTTGTCAATAAAGTTTATTGAACTGAACAACAGAAACATTTTTTGTAAAAGATAAAAATGTATGCAACTCAGTTCTTAACATTTCTCATCAGTCATTAGGATTTGTCTGATGTAAAGCCACGATCATGCAGTCTGATCACATATCTTATTATCTCCCCATGCAGGAAATAACACGTCAGACCAAGTCCGCCCTGGCTAAACACACACACACACACACACACACACACACACACACACGCACACACACACGAGTCATTTTGCTCTACTTGGCTGCATGCTGATTAGATTTCTATTCAGATCAATCTGGCCAGCCAGTGGAGGGGAGAGGAAACAGTAGAAAGGCCCGTGACCTTGGAAAGGAGACAGACTTTTCCTGTCTTTGTTCCAAATTGTCCGTCATCATCTTGGTTTGCATCACGTGAAATCACAATGAGAATTTCAGTCAGTGAAACAAGTGGGCGACAGAGTATCCAGTCACATGCAGGGGAGGAAGAAAAGAGAGTTCTGTTACATCCTGCGTCACAAAAAAACCTGCATATTGAGTTCTTTAAGAAACCACTGGTGTATTAGTGAAACACGACCCTGGTGTTTATCCTGTTTCCTGCTTTCCAAGTGATTGAAGTCTAGAATAAACAAAAGAAGTGGCAGTGAAACAAAAATCAAACCAATTTTAGTGGAGAGTGTTTCCTCATGACAACAGCTACTTATTCTGTCAGTCAGTCAGTCAGTCAGTCATAAAGTGAGACAAACCCTCCTCTGTTGACTGAGACAGAAAGGCCGTCCAACAGCAGGACCCCAGGCCTGGTGTTGGTTCTGTGTGAGCGGCGCCGTTCAGGACACTTGGCTGTGTGGACATGATAATGACAGAGATGGCCGAGGGGCTCTGATCACTGATCACAGAGCAGCGATTCCCTCTGTGCTGCTGCTGCTTCAATCAACGCCGCTGCAGCGCTCATGTAGAGCAGCACAAAAAAAATAATCGTTTGTAATGTAGAAGAGAAAGAAAACAGAGCACAGAGGAGCAATGAATCCACTGTGAGACCACGGTTTGAAATACTGCTGTTATAATCACCTACAAACTGCAAAGGATGGTGATTAAATATAAAAATCTGAAAACTAAAATCTAATTAAGTTGTTTTAACTTTTACCTTTACTGTTCTAATGCAGGATGAAGCCATTTGTCAGAGTCAAGGCCCTTCAGGTCTTCACCATGCTCTTATCATTCATCCATTTTCGTAACTGTTTATCCTCTTAGGGGTCGCGGGGGGGCTGGAGCCTATCCCAGCTGACACTGGGTGAGAGGCAGGGTTCACCCTGGACAGGTCACCAGACTATCACAGGGCTGACACATAGAGACAGACAACCATTCACACTCACATTCACACCTACGGACAATTTAGAGTCACCAATTAACCTGCATGTCTTTGGACTGTGAGAGGAAGCTGGAGCACCTGGAGGAAACCCACGCTGACACAGGGAGAACATGCAAACTCCACACAGAAGGGCTCGAACCAAACTCTCTTGCTGTGAGGCGACAGTGCTAACCACCACACCATCGTGTCGCCTTGCTCTTATCATGTCAGATTGTTTTTAAGTTTTTATCTTGTATAACTATCTAAATTTTTTAGTTTTGTTTCTGTTCCTGTTCACATTAACTTTTTGCAAACCAGCCAAGAGTTCTACCAGCCCTTAATGGTCTGGCCCCGTCCTACATCTCAGACCTATTCTAACCCCCTATTCCACCCCCAGGTCCCTCAGGTCAGCTGACCTGGGGCTCCTGGCTGTCCCATGCTCCAGACTTAAGCTCAGACGTGATCTTGCCTTTGCTGTATCTGGCCCCAAACTGTGGAGCAGCATCCCCCTCCCAATCACATCTGCCCCCTCCAATGACTCGTTTAAGTCCAGGCTCAAAACCTACTTTTATTCATTAGCGTCTGAGTCCCCCTGATGTGGTTTTCCCTGATGTGTGCCTGTGTGTTGTGTCTCTACATGTGTGAGCTGTGACCTAACAATTATGTTACCCCTGTGTGTGCAGTTTTATTTAGCATTTTATTCCCTTTGTACAGCACTTTGGTCAATGTGAGTTGTTTTTAAATGTGATTAATAAGTAAATTTGAGTGTGAGTCGAGTTACAGACTGACAAGTAACTCGTCGACTGGACAGTTCTTGGTGTTTGTCACCCTGCATCATCAGGAGCCACGTGGGGAAATCAGATTCTGGTGACTGACAGAAGTTAATGCTTCTAAAGTGTTTATATTTATAGTCTTTGGTTTCACAAAGAGCTCACAGAGGAATAACTGATTGTAAACATTATGAGTAGGCTGTTATTAGACTGCAAATCAATCGCATGTTATGATAGTGACTAACGTAGAGACAGGATGAAAAGAAGGCGTCTTGTACTGTAATGATTCAGGGCTCAATGCTGTGGGATCACTGTCACATTTTTTAATGGACTTAATGAAGAGATAAAGTACACGGTGTCAGACACAACGATGGAAGTCTTAACAGCTTTTTAATTAGGGAAATACCCACAGTGACATGCATATGTGTTACCATGGTTGCATGTATTCATTAGCATAAATAGATGATGGGATGTAAGTGGCCTTTATCAGGATCAGTTAGTAGCTCGTGGACAGATTTCATGATCAGCAGATGGATTTGTTATTTGTGTATCTGTTGAAATCATGCTGAAGTCACATGTCTGCTGTCATAAAATCCTGTTGTTGGTTTGGTTTCTTTCACACTACAAATGAACCGCACTAGAGTCCATTTGGAAGTGGACGGAGGACCACCTTTTCAAGTGGTCTCGCTTCAGTTGTTTGGTCCGCACCAGGGTTCGACTGGCAGCTTTCACACCAGCCAAAATGAACCGTATAAACCACGCAAACAGACCTGAGTGCGTTTTAACCGAACCAAACAGATTAGGTAAAACTAAGAAAGCCTTGTGACCCCTGCCGTGAAGCTTAAGTGACTTCTAGTGGGGGTCAGGACCCTCAGGTTGGGAACCAGTGACTTAAACTCACGATATTAGATGGCTGAGTTGGCTTTTATACTGTACACCATATTTTTCTAACTTTAAAATGCAGTCCATCAAAATTAAAGAAGAGTGTCATCCAGCTTCACCACACTTTTCACCAAATGTTTTCTGCCATCCTGTCTTCATCAGGGTGGTGTCTGTGTGAGGTTATTGAGGTTGACATCTGAGCCAAACAACCTCAGGTAATGAAGCAAGGGAACCAGACATGTCTAGCTAATAAAGTGTGGTGCAGTGGAGAAGAGTTGTGCAACATGTTTTTGTAATTGTGATGGCATTCATACACCTACAGTCTTTTTAGCATTGTGCAGGTTTAGTTTATAATCTTCTCTAAAAGGTTTATCTCTGTCTGGCTGATCCATATAATAAACAGCGCGTTGCCCTGTGTGCTTCAGATGCTTCTGCTTTAAGTGTTGGAGGTGCACAGAGGAATATGTTTTTGAATTGTTGTCGTCTTACAGTATATATTTCTTTAACTCACTCCTGTTGTTGAGGCTCATGTGGCCTTGAGTTTCCACTGTGGTCCAATAGATTTGTTCATTCTTCCTGCCTGGCAAATCTGCTAACCCTCAGAGATTTTCATTTGTTAGGTTTCAGCTGACAGTTTAGATGCTGCATGCCTGAACAGATGTTTAAAGAGACTCTTTACCCCCGATGAGAAGAAAATTAAAGCAGAAACACTCAAGTTTAAAGTATCCAAATTGTTCCATTAAAAGCCCACCAGGCATCTGCAGGATATTAGAAATATTTCAGGTTGTATTTCAAGCTGCAATTTGCCCTCGGTGGTGGAATAAATACCCAGATCAGGGCTGTAATCACCAAATTAACAATGGAGGGGCATTTTCAAACCACACCTCCTGCAACCCAACCTCCCAGGGCAGTCATAATATCTTGCCCCCAGTGGTGAAAGAAGTGATAATACCACAGTGTAGAAATACTCTGTTGTCAATCAAAAGTCATGCATTCAAAATGTTACTTAAGTAAAAGTACAAAAGTGTCAGCATCAAAATGTACTTAAGGTACCACAAGCAAAAGAATACAGACTGGTCATTTCAAAATAATGTACATTATATTAATATCATTGATGTGTTAATGTGGACATCACTTCCGTATTGCAATTAGTGAAGGTGAAGCTAATTTTAA